AGAGGTCCCCGCCTCGCTGCTCGTTCCACATGCGCTCCCCGTGCGTCCCGTTCGCCGACCACACCTCCCTCTTCTGCTCAATCTGCGCCTCCTGCCTGTCCAGCACGCGGTGCAAAAAGTCAAACACGTCGTCGCCCGCGTTGGCGAGGATCCACTTGTCCTGCGGATACGCCACCTCGCGGCCCGAGGCGGCGTCCGGCCCCATCCTCGAGAGCATCTGCATCGGCACGGCGGCCTCGCCCGCGGTGACGTCGAGCGCGTTGGCGTAGCCGAGCTCGAGATCGTGCATGCGCGCCACGAGGTGCTGGGTGTAGAGGAGCCACTGGCCGAGGAGACTATTGCGCACGGCGGCCATCTCGTCCGAGTCGCGGTCCTCGTTGGTCGGGAGGAGGGAGAGGAGGCCGCCCGTGGCGCCGTACTCGTGGTCCAGCATCTCGAGACACTCGTTTGCGTGGGAGGCCAGAGCGGTGTGCGTGGCGTAGGGGCGGGGTTTGGTCCGCTTGTCCTTGTCTTCGTTGAATTCGTGAAGGGGGCAGTGGTGGACGGTGCCCTGGGTGTCGGACTCGTGCTGGATCAGGTTCATGAGGTCGGTCAGGGGCTTGTTGTGCCACTCGTCTTCGTTTGTGTATGGTTTCTGCAAGTCGTTGAGCCAGTCAAAGGCCTCGTTGTCTCTAAACGACTTTTGGATGCGGCCCTCGTTGTTGTTCTCATTGTCCACCTCGGCGTACTGAGATGTCGGCGCGAGCTGGGCAATCAGGATGGTCAGCGCTTGCGCGTGTTGCTTAAGGGCGAGCAGCGTAGGCGCGTGTCCATGTGTTGAGAGATAGCTGCAGTTGACGTGACCCAGAAGTTCGGTATCCATCTCGGCATATGGACCGTTTGGAGCGTCTTCATTCCCGCCACCTAGGCAAAGGATCTCCTCAATGTAGCGAGACTGGTAGGCGTCGGCATATGGTGTCTTTGGCAGGCGAGCTTGGGAGGAGGCCATGATGAGAAGTTTGGTCAAGTGTAAATCTCAAGAGAAACTCCGGTGTGCAGTGGGAAAGCCAGCTGATGAGATGAAAGGTTGAACAACGTGACGGTACCGGTAAAGGCCATCTTTGAGGCAATGAGTTATTATCAATGCTGTCGATTGGAAGGAATGGGCTTTTCATAGTGGTGGCACCTGATGGAATTATTGGAACAAAGAGACTATGGAAAGGTTTCCAATGCCAAGCTCAACATTGACCAGACAAACAATAGCTGCGCTTGGTTTTCATGTTGGTCTAAGTCGGGAACAATGATAGCTCTCATTCATGGCATATGAATGCGACTTTCCTTCATTGTCAGAGTATGGAGGTGATGTCTTGTCTGAGACGACAGCCTTTATCATCCTCTAATATAGGGGAAGGCGGCATCCTTCTTTTGTTACACGATCGTCACTTGTCCACAATGTCTGAGCAAGGATGAGCAATAAGAACTGAGAAAATGAACCATGAAACTTCAACCGACTTCGTTGAAAAGCCAGGCAACAACACCTAGACAATGACATCTTGGAGCAACGTGACCATCGTCCTCAGATCGAGATGCCCAAATGTTGGCGCCCTTAGGCACATGCATACTTTAAGATTCAGTAGCAAGGCATGTAATGTACTCTTGCTCCGGAAAGACAAGCCTCGTCACTTCAGCAATATGGGAGAGTGTATTTTAGATCAGACCACATATCTGAAAGTGTCGAAGGGATCGGAACTGTAAAGCCATGTGCAGTCCACGGCCTCTGGATAGCTTCGTTCAGGCAGCACTAGCTGGACCGGCTCTAAGCGTAGTCATGAGTCTAAAAACCAGGCTGAAGTTCGTCTTATCCGGTCATCGGCAAGTGTGCTTGCTTTCCTGCTGCTTAGCAGTATCGCCAATGGTTGTTTATCGGGCGTAGTCCCGAACGGAGCCTTCAAATAGAGTTTAGAACGGCCGCCTAGGTTGGCGTTTCTCATTTCTCAACGGAGAGGTCCGGAATTGAGGCGAAGTCGTCCGGGATGTTTGATGAAGGGGTCGAGTGCGGTATGGGGGCCTGGGCCGGTCGAAATGCGGCCGGTCAGCTTGCGGGTGCGCACGTGGGAAGCGAACCTGCAAGAGGTGCAGTAATGTCCAGCTATGCAGGCTGATGAGTTGTAAACATGCAGATGATGCTGAGGACCGCAGATTGCCCTGATCGGGCTGATCACTCTTCGGCCAGGGACGATGCCGCATTGTTGGCGGCATTGCCTACCTGTCATCGGCGTCGTGGCATTCCAGAATGCGCGTCCTGGGCCGTTTGGCGCGCAAGCTGGAAACAAATAAAGATGTCTCGGAACGGTGCAACCGGCAGTAGGCCGTGTTTAGAGGGCCACGGGCGGCTACTGTCGTCAAACGTTGTACAGAGTACGGAGTACAGTGTACGTAGATATAATGTTACAGTAGTGGCTGGTGGATTGTCTTGATTCTCAGGCGGTGCGGCTTTGTCTCTCGTGGTGTTGTGGCTCACCGGCCCTGGGCTCGACTGGCCGCTGGTCCACCATGAGCGTTTCTCCCGGAGACACAATTTCCTTCGTCAGCCGAGCAGGGATCCTAGAGGAGATGGTCTGTCAATGGTAGCATGGGGACGGGTGTCAAACTGTGGAGGATTTGAGATTTTCTGGTAGAGTAGCGCCGATGTAGGTTGATAGGACGTCCGGATGCGGTTTGGGGTGGGCGACCATCGGCGCTAGGGAAGAAAACATGGGTGGGCGTCCAGCGAAGCGTTCCAGAGCAGGAAATTGGCAGCATTCGTCGAGACTCGAGAGACGGTAAGTGGCACAGATCCCATCATTCATCCTTCGTCTCGGTGCCCCGACTTCCAAGACCACCGGTGCGTTGGGTCACAGAGCTATAGCGATTTGGAGGTGCGCGAATACCAAAGTCCATACGGGCATGGCATTTTCGATGACGCCTACGAAGGGCTGCCCAGCCGGCCGGTGTGTAAGCCGTCTATTCTGGGGTATCTTGAGGGCTGTCATGTTATCGACGTTTTCGAACGGGATGCGCAAGAGCCGCGCGGAAGTGGATGCTGGATTGTGCGTAGCTTGTCGATAGCATGGACAAACATGAGGGCATTGCGTCAGTGGGCAGGCGGAATTGGGGTATTTTCTGGTAGGTACGTCGCTCACTCGGCCGAGGAAGCCAAGCCAAGCACGTTGATGTCACTTGGTGCCGGGTGGCTGCCGTTACTCGTGCCGCTCGCCGTCTCGCCGGGTAAAAAACAAAAGCTTCAAACGTTGGAAAGGGCCAAGAACTTTCGAGGAAGAATTGGCGGTGGTCGGGGAAGATGCCGTGAAGGATGATAAAATGGAGGTCTGAATATTCAAGAGTTGGCCGTCTGAAGGCCAGTTTGATGGGGTTCGATGTGGCACCGCCCGCAGCAATTGGCCGGAGACCCTGTAAAACCGCGACGAGCCCTGCAGCGGGAAGGATAAAAGTCGAGATTTTAAGTGGTGAAAACCGGGAATCTCAGCCAGCGCACTTTGGGTGTCTGCCGGGGGTTTCATTTGTTGGCTGCGACGCTGCCGGCGGACGGCAGGGCTGGTGGACCACGGTGTTTCCGGGTAGTGAGCCGCGTGAATCAGGACAGGTCGGTAGCGGTAGGGAGGAAGAAGGAGGAAATGCGACTTGTAAGGATTAGAGTGAAGACCATACTCTGCAGACCGTTTGAAGTCAAAGAGATGAACGCATCCCAAGACAAGCGACGAATGTTTGGGTGCGTCAGAATGAACGGACCTTGATGGTGTCTGAGCCTCTGGAAGTCACCGAGGGAAGGTGCAGACGGGAGGGAGCCAAAACCACGACTGTGTAGGTAGGTATTCATACTCCGTACTTTGCAGACTTTTGTTACTGGATGGCAATCTAGACCCTCGAGTTGGGTACAGAATTTGAAGAATACGGTACCTAGCTTGAGAAGAAAAAAAGATTTAATCAAAAAGTAAGCAAAAAAGATTTGGCAGTGCCCACAAACCGGCAACGGCATCGTTGAATCGTGAGAGATGGTTTCCAGTTAGAAAGACGTCGGCCAATCAAGAAGCGTCGCATGCAGTGTTCAGCCGACCCACTTCACCTCGAGTGGCCAGGAATTGTCGATAGGCTGTAAAGGGACCCACCTTGTGGTAGGTGCGTTTCCGTTCCCAGGATGGCAGGCGCATCGACACCAGGAAGCTGCCAGGGGATCCAACTTTCCATGCCCAACTTTGAGATAGAAGTGGGGCCAGAAGTTGGGAAGGTGCAGGTTTGCAGGTTTGGCTTCACCTCTTCCTGCCTCCAAAATGGCACATTCACATTGAGCTAGCCCCTGTCTGGAAGGGACTCCTATGTTTCTTACCACGCTTACGCAGTAGTGCAGTACTTCTCCCTACCTGCAGTCCTGGTGTGCACTCGGAGAAGACAATGCACTTGCAAGTTGCATGGGCTTGGTCGAGTTGGATTGGCGCTGCGTGTCTGCGTCATAGTTGGCATTGGCTGGCATTTTGCTAGCTACTCCAAACCCTGCGGCGCGTCCAGCGTCCAGCGTCCATTGAGACGGTGGCTCTGCCGACAGCTCAACCTGGAACACACCACCTCCGCGCCTCGTTTCCCCTTGCCCGCGCCACCAACACGATCTGTCCCGGCACTGTGAGGGAGCAATCTTTGCATGTGAGGTGAGGCTTTACTCGATTGCATGAACAAGCAGTACCCAGTCGGCCTTCACTGCTGACGGTGGTCCAAGAGGAGGGCCCAATGTAGCTGTCTTCAGCTGGTGTGTGTCGTGCACCAGCGGCATACCAGTGTGGAATGGGTGACAACCCGTTCTAGGCCACGCCGAACTGGGGGTCTCAATTTGAATCTATCGGTGGCCTCCCTCTCATGCTTCGTCTCTGTGTGCCTCCTTCCTGGTCAGTGGGAGGGCTTGTTTGAGAAGAGAGAGGACCCTTTGAAAATAAGAATAAGGGACGACGACAACCCCTCATCGGACCAAGGGTATGTATTATAATTCATCTCAAACTTTCGGATTACATTGTCCAGATAGAGACATCGGACTGCAGACATTCGATAGTGAAGAGGCATTACGACTCGTGCATCACTTCCTGCCACAGACTTTATCCAACGACTCCATCCATCTGTCGGTCTGCCCATCATTCTCCACCAAGATCTGCTTGTTATTGCGTCGTGACCAACCTCTTTCCTGCCTGCAGCCCTTCATCGCTTCATCGAAGGTAAGCTCCCTCGGCTCGATCGACAATTCCTTCTCTCATCCCCAGAAACCCTCCATGCTCTACTCCCCCATCTTCATCGTTCTAGCTACACTAGACTCGACTTGAGCTGGCGCAACAGTCGTGACAGCAACAGCAGCAATCATAGGCAATAGAAGGGGGCACGAAAAGATAGACTAACACTGCCCCTAGTGCTGTCTTGTGGCGTCACCTCCTTTCAGCACAACGGGACTGAGACATTGGGAGACGCGCCCAATTTCCCCCAAGCTACCATCACTTTACGGTCACGTCACTATTTGCTTCTCCTGCTCTGCTCTGCTCTTCTCTTGCGCTTCGACGTACCCCCTTTGCAGCTTTGCACCAAGTATCCAAAGCAGCAGCACACCGCACCACCAGAAGTCCAGACCATAGCAAACCATCGCCCGCAAGCGCACCGCACTACCTCACCTCACCAGCGCGCAATCAGTTACCTCAGAGCTCTGGGCACCTCGTCGCTTGTGTAACTGATCGACGCTCGGCCTGGCCCATCCCAGCATCCTGACAAGCTACGAACCCATCGTCTCATTTCCCAACTCCCGGTTTTTCAACAACGCGCACCACACATATCATCCCCCACCCTTCCCCCCTTCCACTGCTTCTTTTTTAACCCCCTGTCCCTTGACCTTCTCTTCTCTTCCCACCCACTGCTCAGGTTCAGACTCCAGTGTCCACGGCCCTTCGCCTGTCTGAGTCTCTCCACGACCGCACACGACCCTCGATACCCTTCCCTGTTTAATACCCGACTTGGCCCCAGGGACCCCCACCGTATTTGACCTCGCGTCTTCTCTCTCGACTCAACTTTGTCCCAGCACACACACAAACACCAACAACCAAAACGACCACCAGGCGTCTCAATTCGCCTAGACGCCATCATGTCGGGTCTTGGCGATGCCGAAGGCGGCCAGTCCAACCGCGGCGAGGCTCTCGACGATACCTCGGGCAGCTCCATTTCCGGCCTCGTCAGTACTCTAGCCGTCTGCGCTCCCATTGCTGGCGTCTACCTCGTCATCTTCTTGATCCTTCGCCGCAGCCAAAGGCGATTTTATGCCCCGAGAACTTATCTTGGCAGTTTGCGTGAGAGGTGCGTGGGAATTCTTGTGTCTTGATGAGTCTCAAATCCTGACTACCTCACAGCGAGCGATCACCAAGTCTGCCCAGTGGCTTGTTCAACTGGTTTAGTCACTTTTGGAAGATACCTGATGTCTACGCCCTCAAGCACCAGTCTCTCGATTCCTATCTCTTCCTTCGATTCCTCCGCATCTGTGCCACCATCTGCCTGGTCGGCCTTGTTATGACATGGCCGGTCCTCTTCCCCGTCAATGCTACTGGCGGAGGCACCGCCAAGCAGCTCGACATCTTGACCTACAGCAACATCGACGTCGCATCCTCCTCTGGACTCAACCGCCTGTACGCACATGCTCTCATTGGCTGGATGTTCTATGGCTTCGTCATGTACATGATCATGCGCGAGTGCATCTTCTACATCAACTTGCGTCAGGCTTTCCTGCTTTCGCCCACCTATTCTAAGCGAATCTCGTCTCGCACTGTCCTTTTCGTATCAGTCCCCGACGAGTACCTTGATGAAGCCAAGTTCAAGAAACTCTTCAGCGACTCGATCAAGAGAGTTTGGATCACTGGCGACACCGAGAAGTTGGACGATCTCGTTGAGGAGCGTGACAAGGTCGCCATGAAGCTCGAAAAGGCCCAGGTGAAGCTCATCAAGTTGGCAAATGCCGCTCGTCTCAAGGCTGCCAAGAAGGGTGGTGCTCCTGAGAAAACTCCCTCGGCTCAAGACACCGAGGCTGGCGCTTCCGATGCCGCTGCTCGTTGGATCCCCCAGAAGAAGCGCCCTACCCACCGCCTTGGTCTCCTGGGCCTCATTGGAAAGAAGGTTGATACCATTGAATGGTGCCGTTCCGAGCTCCAGCGCCTTATTCCCGCCGTCGATGCCGCTCAAGCCGACTACCGTGCTGGAAAGGCCAAGAAAGTTCCGGCTGTGTTCGCAGAGTTCTACACTCAATCCGACGCCCAGGCTGCTTACCAGGTTACCACTCATCACCAAGCTCTTCAGATGACGCCCAAGTACATTGGTATCCAGCCTACTGAGGTCATCTGGAAGTCTCTCAGAGTATCTTGGTGGCAGCGCGTTATCCGTCGCTATGCCGTTATTGCCTTCATCAGCGCACTTATCATTTTCTGGGCTATTCCCGTCACAGTGGTCGGAATTATCTCCCAAGTCTCGTATCTCAAGAAGGTTTCCTTCCTTACGTGGCTCGACAAGATCCCCGACGTCATCATGGGCGTCGTTTCTGGCCTCCTCCCCAGTGTGGCTCTGGCTGTGCTCATGTCCTTGGTGCCGGTTATCATGCGTCTTTGCGCCAAGCTTTCTGGCGAGCCTTCCAACTCCCGCGTCGAGCTTTTCACCCAGAACGCGTACTACTGGTTCCAGCTCATTCAGGTCTTTCTTATTACGACTGTCTCCTCGTCTGCTGTAGCGACCATTCAGGCAATTTCAAACAACCCGGGCTCCATCTTCAGCACCCTGTCCACGGCAATTCCCAAATCCTCCAGCTTCTACGTCAGCTACTTCATCCTCCAGGGTGTTACCCTCGCCACCGGTGTTTTGACCCAGGTGGTTGCATTTGCCATCTTCGTGGCCATTCTGAAGTTCCTCACCAATACGCCCAGAGCTTTGTACAACAAGTGGTCCACTCTTGCTGCTATCTCGTGGGGAAGCGTCCTCCCTGTTTACACTACCATTGCTGTCATCAGTAAGTTCCTGCACTTCCATCTCAATCCTAGTTTTCTTGCTAACTTTAACCAGGCATCACCTACGCTCTTATCGCTCCTCTGATGCTGTTCTTCTCCACCATTGGCATTGGCTTGTTCTATCTTTCTTACCGTTACAACATTCTGTTCGTCACGGACACCAAGATTGACACCAAGGGTCTCTTGTACCCCCGCGCCCTCAAGCAGCTCTTTGCTGGTGTCTACCTGGCAGAGATCTGCCTTGTGGGTCTGTTTTCCGTGTCGAAGGCTTTTGGACCCCTTGTCCTCATGATCGTCTTCCTCATCTTCTCCATCCTCTTCCACCTCACTCTGAACAGTGTCTTGGACCCTCTCCTGTACACTCTTCCCAGATCCCTGCAGGTCGAGGAAGAGTCGCTGAGTGCCGACATTGAGGGCATCGACCGCAAGGATTCCGGCAGAGGCGTTTCTGAGGAGCAGAACGGCGATTCGAGCGGCTTCATGAAGAAGATCCCCAACATCAAGAAGTTCGCCCCTGGAGGTGACGAGAATGTTGTTGAGAAGGGCGGTAACATTGTTACCCGCTTCCTCAAGCCGTGGATCTTTGCCGACTATCTTCACCTTCGCAACCTTGTTCCCCATGACCCCACACAGATTGACGAGATGTACCCTGGCAACATTCAGGATAACGCCTACTACCCACCTTCAGTCTCAAGCCTGCCTCCTCTTCTCTGGATTCCTGAGGACGCCGCCGGTGTTTCCAAGTACGAGATTGCTCAGACTAGCAAGATTATCCCTATCACCGATGAGGGCTGCACGTTGGATGAGAAGAACAAGCTTGTTTGGGATTCTGAGGGCGCCAGACCTCCCATCTGGGACGAGAAGATTTACTACTAAAGCTCGTGCTTTACCTGTCACTTGTATACCATTGATACCCTTGGGAGTATGAGCTCTCTCTAATAACTCAATGCCTACTCGGTATTGGCCCTTTTTTATGTAGTCACAAATGAGAATTTTATAATCCCACTCGTCTGCTTCCGCCTGCCTTGCTAGTGAAATTACGTAGCATGACTGAGATAACTGATATGAATACACTCATGGCCAAATCTGTCATACACATATCCTTGACAAGGCTTATGATCGCACGGTATTGAGTTGATAATGAGGCGGCAAGATCCAGGTAACAGAGACGAACGATGCATCCAGGCCGATGTTTCTTCTGAGGGAGGTGTGTGTGCGTCGAATCACTTCTTGTCTAGAAGGTCAGGTGCTTATTGCCTCAGTGGTAGGTGCCTCGAGGAAGGAGTGGGATATGAATAATTACTGGATTGTCGAAGCCTCGCTGATGAGGCTGCACGATCATTCAGGCTCCCTTATCCACAGGGAACTTTGCTGAATGACTTCAACTTCAACTTGCGAGTGTCAGGCTTTCTGCCTACTTACCTACTTTTCCCCCACTTGGCGACCTGCCATTTACACTATTCTTCTCGCATCACCAACGTGAGGCTTTCGCGCCTCCATATTCTCAAGCACCCCAACCTTTCTTCCACGGTCACCTTTCCGTCGTCTGTCAATTTTTGCTCTTCCAATAGCTCTAGCAAGAAAAAAGAGAAAAAGCTTCCACGAGCCACTTCACTCGCCCTTGGCCGCAGCATCATAAAAATGGCGGCGGTATCAGGAGATACTCCGTTGTTGGCAACTGCTATCGGAGCTACTCACCAAATGGAGATTGACGACGAAGCGACTAATAAGGTATGTTTACGGGAACGGTGCCTTAAGCTTCGCCAATGCTAATTGGTCAGCAGCCAAGTCCGAGTAGTAGTGCTGGAGGTGCTACGTGCACCCCATCCCATTCTCCACTCTGGGAAACCCCCCGCCACTCTTCTGAAGGACGCGGAACCGCGCTTTCGCGCCCCCAGCCTCTATACCAGCCAACGACTCCAACCAAAGCGTCACTCGGTTCTCTCCAACGTTGCTCCGTCACAACCCAACAATCGCCCACTGCGAAAACGCGACTTTGCGGCCTTGCCGCGTCGATCCATAGAGATCAAAGACGGAAGCCGCAGTCGACCATGGCTGAGGCCCTGCTGGGCCTCGCGCCCTCATACGGAAGCGCGTCGAGGAATAAGCCGTCAATTGCGCATCCCGATGACATCCCCGCCCAACTCCGTCGCGAACTCGACCGAAAGAAGACACCCACACGATGCGAACATCTTTCCGTCACACTCGAAGTGCCCTCTACCCTCGAATTCGCCATTCGCGATGGCGACAGCGATGTGCAGGAAAATATCGACTCAGCGCTGAGCGGCCTCCGAACTCAGGTCGTCGAAGGTCAAACCGTCAAGATTATACGCGCCTACGACACCATCATCAGCCAGCCCCACGACAACCCCGTGATGCAGAGAGCCGTGGCGAAGCATATTGTTGGGCTTCTTTCTGTGGTGGATGAGAGCACATGGGTCGTCAGAGAGGTTTCGCGCGGCCAGTACGGGTGGTCCTTCACCTACAACTGCAAAGACTCTCTTGTGACTTGGAACCGGCAACATCAGAAGACGCCAAATAAGACTATCATAGGAGAGTATAGTCAGAAGGAGCTTGAGCCGGAAATGCAGGGTAGGGTTTTGCGTCTTCGAGCGCGCATGTTCTATCTGCTAACAGCTACATAGCCCGACCAGCTTTCGACTGTCGCGGGACGCTTACCGTTGCGTTTTCAAAGAATACCCGAACCATCAACGTCAAGTACGAACACACGCCTCTGCATAAGACTTTGGGCGAGATGATCGAGCACTTCAAACCCCTTCCTCCGGCAGCACCTCCAGCACCTCTCATTCCCGCGGGGGAAAAGTCCAAGAAGGCGAAAACGCCGCGAAAGCGAAAGAGTGAGGCATTGAATCCGGACGGGACGCCTGTTGAGCCAAAGCCAAAGAGAAAGAGGAAGAGCGAGGCGTTGAATCCAGATGGGACGCCTGTTCAGCCGAAGAAGAGGAAGAGGAAATCTGAAGCCGCAAAGGACGCACAAGCAGCTGGAGACACTACCAACGGCGAGGCAACAACCACTGTTCCGACCAAGGCGGATGCCGCTGTTCAAAGTGGAGTGCATTCACATGCGGTGCTGAATGTGCCCCCCGGCGAAGCGGCTAGGCGCCGCGAGGTCGCCATCAGACTCCTCAGCGACAGCGGCTTAGATCCCGAGAGTCTTTCTACGGAACAGTTCAGTATCTTTGCCAACCAATCTCCGGATCTTCAGAAAGAGTCACTTGCCATGCTGGTCAAGTATGGTGCTGAGCGACTCCGCATCGTTCATCCCAACGATGCCGCTGCGTCCTCGACCAGCGCGTCACCCACGCCTCAGCAGGAAACAGCACAACAGGCCGCTGTCACGACTGCCACATTGGAATCTCCAGCCTCAGGCAAGAAGAAGAAGCGGCCTCGAAAGTCGAAGGCCGCTGAAGACGCGGTAGAAGTGGAGTTGATTCCGGCACCCCCAGGCACGCCGATGAAGCTGATTTCGAGGGGTGGATGCATTGCTTGCAGAAGAGCAAAGGCCAAGGTACGTGAATCTGTTTCGTTGAGCTGTCTAGTTAGAGAGACTAATGTGTTCCAGTGCGATCGCGCCAAGCCTGAGTGCGCTTCTTGTGAAGAGCAGGGTGTGGAATGCCAATATCCCCTGATTAATAAAATGCCACCAAAGAAAAAGGAAGAAAAGTCTGCAGATGTAGTGGAGGACGAGGAGGACGATGACGACGCCGAGGCCGAGGTTGAAGCCGAGACCGAACCGGCGGAGCCTGAGATCGAAGTTGAAGAACAAGAACCGGACGACATTGAGACGATCGACTACACTTCAAACATGCCAGTTGCCAACATGCTCACTCCTGCTGCGCAGGCTCCCAGTCAGGACTACTTCAATGATGGGCCAAACGAAATGACCTATACTCATTCCGCTTCCAACGATATGAACATGTCACACGGTGTCTCATCATACCCCGAGCCTTCTGCCACCGCAACTTACGCAGAGCAGCAGGCAGTCTCCACGAGCTTTTCGCAACCGTCTCTGACCGGCACGGCAACGTACACTCAACCGAGTACAGATGCGAACAGTTATACAACCGCCAGCAATGACACAATGTCGAGTCTCAATTACTCCCAACCCTCGGCTAAGAGCCCGAGAGCGACGAGGACCTCTTCACGGCGCAGTTTGCCATCCGGACCAGGACAGCCGCATCAGCCCACGGCCGAAAGCCCTGTTCCTCTTCCCAGTTACGCACAAAACTGGCAAAGCATTTCTCCTCCCCGGACAGCGAACACAGTTTCGCCTACCATGACGACTAAGCAACACAGGCCGCGAAGTTCGACCCAGATGCCGGCTGCGACCACGGTCGCTCCCCAGGAAACATCCTATCGCAACACGCAACAGGCTGTGGCTCATGTCACTGCACAGCAACAACGGCAACACCGTCCTTCCCCGACTCAGCAAGCAGCTCAAGTAGTGCAAACAGTCACCCCGGCCCAGGTCTCGCCATTCCAGGCCCCTGTACAAGCAGCCCGAACTAAGAGTCGAGCTGGACAGAGAGCCTCCACTCGTACTCCCGTCAATGAACCCCGTGCAACACCGTCCCATCATACCGTCCAACCATCGACTTCAGCGACGATGGACTCAGCAACTTACAATGATACCCAATCCATGAGCAACGTGTCCGACTACAACAACTACCATACGAAGTACTCAAGCCAGAGCAATAACTCGACAGAGTTGGACACCACAAGACTCGCCTACCAGCCTTACGCGGCGCAGAATACCTCTGCAACAACAACCACCTACCCTTCGTATGACCATGACAGAACCAACACCACTGCCTCGCACACATCCAGCGGCAACGCGCGGTCCGGACAGTTGTACAACAGCCAGTCACAATCGCGCAACACGCAATCATACAATAATACCAACACCACGGCCGCGGCAAACACTTACGCTCAACAGCCATCGACGAACCAGCAGCAGTCGTTCAACATGCGAAGTTCAGCAGCGAGCAGCACTCAGCCAAGATCGTCCTCTCGGAACGCAAATCAGCAGCCTCAACAGCAGCAGTCACAGTCGCAGCCGCAGCAGACACAATCGTATGGATCTTACGCAAACCAGACGCAACAGCAATCAACTCAGCCGGACCAACACAACTGGTATGGGTTTGGCTCGGGATCTAACACTTCTTTCACGCCAGCCAATGTCGCTGGAGGCTATGCCACGAGAGGTGCCACTTCCGCCAACTACGGCAGCGGGTCCAGCACCTCCAACCAAGCATACCAGCAGCAACATGGCTCTCTTAACATGACGGGCCACAGTTACTCTCCCGGAGACAATGAGATGTACGAGTTGTTGAAGAACTCTCTTCACGGCCCAGGTCGCTAAATGAAGGCGGGTGGTCGACGGCCTCTTTGTTTGTATTGTTCTGCGGTACGCGGTCAAGTGTACATACCTACTCTACTACTTCAGCGACCTGCTTCTAGCAACGGACATGGGCGTGCGTGGGTCGGAAAAGCCTGAAGGACAGGCGGTCGGAATTTTATGTTCAGGGAAAAGGACTTCAGTTTTGGTGGCACATCACCCACAGGTAGCCCACGGGCACCTTATTTGTTATTAGTAGTTTATCTGGCCATCAGTCAGGGTCTCGTGGATGAGCTCGATTGGTGGGGTTGCACTAGGACCAATGAGTGAACATGTGCTCTGATATGGAACCAACTTCTTGTGACGTGCCTGGTGTGTAGAGTCTGCGGCGCAGACTCGTCCCTGTGGAGATACCCGAGGTCCCATGCCACCTCCAATCGGCACCTTTCATCCGATCCCGCCAGTCGGGTCACTGGTCGTCTTGTTCAGGCTTGCGATGAGAGCAAGCCCAACAACTTGTGGATTTGCTTCCGAGGATCTGAGAGTCGTCCAGTGCCTTGCAATCCTGGCTGGTGAGGAAGTGATCACCGTGAATCTTTGACTGTCGTATCATGTCTGCCCGTCTGAAAGCTCGGGTGGCTCCTGTTGTTTTGGTTTCGAGGGGGGGACGGTTCATCTATTCCCTCTGAAGCGTTCAGATTGTTTTCCGTCAATCCCGTGTGGAGGTTGATAGATGAGATCATTCATCATCTCTCGGGTAGGGATGAATCGAGAGTTCATCCTTATTTGGAGCCCAACCATCGGCACGCGTCTTAGGGGGCTAACCCCTTAACGGGAGCGCCTCTACTCGCGTGCCCGAGCTGAACATATACCCAAGTAGGTATAACGTTCGGATCCTTAAGATTTGAGTCTCTTAAACTAGCGACTTCCTCGAAGTCCCTTGTGTTTTTGATTGTTTTATATTTTAAAATATAGCCTTTCTCTTATTAACTACTAGATAATATCATATATCCGTCACTAATAATACTATCTCTAGTATCACTATCTCGAATATCGCCGTCTCTAGTCTTTCATTAATCCTGCTCTATTTTGAATTCATTCGTGGGCGAATATGAGGGAAATAGCGCCGGGTCAGCATATAATCCCTTAGTATTTAATTTAAAAGTACGTATAGAGGATATATTAATGCCTTCTAGCAATTGAGGGAAAATACCGGATGGAAACTTCCTAATACACCCGCTCAGAACGACTTCGTCCAACTCCTAGGCCATGTACCTAGCCCCTTCCTCGACTTCGCACGGCTGAACTAGCCTCCGATGCAGGAGAGAGGATTCGTTTTGCCACTCTACTGCGGTGATTCGGTCATGGCACATGCTCGTTCTCACGCCCAGCTTTCCCGCCGCTTCGCTGATGGATGTGGCCTTAAGAATCCTTACTCCGCGGCCAAATTGGCAGAGTGTCACAAGCGTTTTCAGCCAGTCAACAGGTCAGTCCACTATCTAATGGCAACGATGTACCAAAAGCCAGAATAAAGACAAGGATAGAGCGGAAGGCGGAACGATACAGTCTTCTTCATCTCGAGCAGTTATTCTCAACATACTTTGATCACATTCTAGAGACTGAAATTCCTAAGCCGCAATTTTGTCTAGCTTTCCTCTCTTCACCCTTGGACTGTGGCTGTGCATGGATCTGTTGTGTTACCCATCGTTTAGTACCATATTTCTATGAGTTCAAGATCGACAAGGCTGTGTGCCTGGAGTATTTCGCATGAGCCATTGTTTCTTGTGCCCCAAATTGGATAGGGCTAGGCGTTTGGTATCTTTCGCGAGCGGCCACAGACGTCATAGAGCCTTGCGGCCGGTGGGAGCACACGGGAATGGGCGGGCGTTGGACATAAGACAGATGTCGAAAGTAGACTGGGCAGGTGCCTGGAGCGGAAAACGGGAAAAGGACGAGGTCAAGTTCGCCCAAGGTATCTGCTTGAAATTGGAAAGTGACAACGTGAGATGGTACGGATGGTCAGGCTCAACCCATGCTAGGTGGCTGATGCAGGGGAAGTTTCTTAGCAATCCTGAGAGAAGCAGCTAACATCATCAAGCAGGTGCTAGTAAGTAGAGAGTCTTGGCCTGCGTATACGGGCACGAGGGGCAACACACTCGGGTGCTAAATATGAAGTTCTCTTGCCCTGGAGTCATGACAGATGACGAGTCTGAACTTGTTGAGACTTTGTAGGGCTGGTAAATTTGTCATCCTGCCAGGGGTACCGGAACGTAGCGTTGGCTTCTTAGCCTAATTCCAGCCTTGGAGACAGTCGCTATGTACGCGGTCACTTGCTTGTTGACTGGCGGCTTTAACGCCTGCCGTTGTTCCAGCGTTGTCGAAAAGAATCGACAAGTTGACCAATTCAAACCCAATTACCTATCAAATGAGTCTCGGGGACGGCTTGATAGGGGCAAGTCTGTACGACAGGAACACCGGAGTTGTCTCGTCTCAGTATGCGATAATGCCAAGTCCCACACATGCAGTCCACGCAATACCTATTGATCTATCTCAGCTGCCAAGTCTCCCTACTCCTCCGCTCCGCCCGTCCTCTCCGCCCCGGCGGGCTGTGATTGGACCTATATCGACAGCAAAGGGCGTAAATCCTGCGGGTTCCCTCTGCTCTGTCTGGAACGTCGAAAAAGAAATTCAAGGTAGGAGGTGATATTTTGAAAGTGCTTCTCACGTCAGCTGCGTCTTCCTACGTTGTTTTGTGCGACGACAATAAGTGTATTTTTGGCCCGAACTTGACAACTTGGGCCAGCCTGCCTGCCTCTCCTCACGTCAACAGGTTGCCACTCTTCTTGGCGACAGCTTTGCGTAAGCTACTTGCCTGTATCAACCATCACCAGCTGAGTGGCTGGCTACCTGCTTTGTTGCCGGCGGCTGCAAGTTGATAGACCCACTCCGGCCGCAATGTTCGCACCTCTATCGGAGACCAGGAACTGACCAGTATCGCCGGGCGCAGAGGAGAGGGTGTCGGGCAGGATCAAGTCTTAGTGTTGTTCGTGTCGTAACACACCCTTCCTCGATCCTTGGCCCCTTTGGTGAGGCTGTCTCCTTCTATGACTTGTAAGGGGGGGAGTTTCTGATTATTGAGTGATATGCAGAGTGGGCGACAGAATATGGCCCGGAGCAGAAGGCCAGGCATGCACCTTGGCCTGCTTATTTGGGTAGATGATTCTCAATTGGCCGTCTCAGGGCAGATGCTACCTCACTCTTTGGTTCATGGTAACGTACCTTATCCGAGGACCTTTGAAGAGAAATACTGTAATTGGGGTGGCAACAGACTACGTAGCGCGAGAGGAAGATCGTAGCCTGATTCTCAAAAGTATGGAGGCCGCCCAGAGGAGAGGAGGACATAACTCTCCGTGGAACCCTCGCGTAATGGTAGCCGGGCTATATTTGATTTTATCAACCATCCCTTCGTCGGAATTCTTTTCTCTCATACATTTCACAAATCAACCGCAACTCCGTGGAACTCAAAATCGGCAACCATGTTGTTTTTCAGCAGAGGGAAAGGGATCATTCCTCGAAGCCGCTGGAGAAGGAGTGCACTTGTCTTCGCCGCCGCCGCACTCCTCACGTTCATCATCAATCTATCCTTTGTTATCTGGGCCACGACACACTCGAGCGATGATCCGAGCGGAGTCGTACGCCCTGGTATTGGCATTATTGCAAGCGGGGAGTGTCAGAGAATCAAAAGTTGGAATACAGGCGCCCACGTGGCAATCAACATCATCAGTACGGTCTTACTAGCTGGAAGCAACTACTGTATGCAATGCTTAATTGCGCCGACACGGAAGGAAATTGATGCCGCACATGCCGAAAATGATTGGCTCGATGTTGGCATTCCAAGTATCCGGAACTTTTGGAGGATTGCTTGGAAGAGAAAGATTGTCTGGAGTCTCCTGGCAATGTCCTCCTTCCCATTACATCTGCTGTATGGTAACTTGGTGACGTTGCACTTGTGTATTGGCATATGGCTGACGGTTCCGCAGTTTCAACTCAGTTGTTTTCACCTCAACTTCAACGAATCTATACAACGTTTACGCGATCAGTGTGAAGAACTTCGATGAAGACGACATGTCTTTAGCTCCTGGCTTCCTACCGTCCCATCTATATCCGAAAATATATACAGACACCACGCAATTTGTTTATTTAGACACCCGAAAATGCCTCGATGAATACGGAACTGCGTTCCAGTCTTCGCGTGGTGATCTAGTCGTCGTGGTAGACAACGGAACGGCTTTCCATGGTGTAGCCCGTCTCGGACTTGACTATGGTGAAGTAGAGCATCCATTTGACTGGATCTGTGGAGATTCACAACGTCAGTCGACTCGACCTTCCTGCGATGAGAAACTCTCGAAGATCAAGAGCGATGCCACCTGGACTGTGGGAACCAATAAAGTAGTAAAAGGCTGCTACAGTGAGAAAACAGATGAGCATTGCAAGTTACTTTTCAGCAGCGTACTATGCTGGACTGTAACTGCCCTTAATGTGATCAAGGGCCTCTTGATGCTTTTTGTAGCATATGGAAACACCGAAAGGCCCGTCTTAACCATAGGTGATGCTATAGTGTCTTTTTTGAAGGATGGAGATGGACACACGAAGGCTATGGCCCTTTCAACGAAGTCAAGCCTAAGGAAGTTAGGCTGGAGCTGCGATCCGCAAGAATTTCACTCGACGCGACGACGTAAATTCGCTGCGGGAAGCCTCTTGCGATGGATGACCACGATAGCTTTGTAAGTATTCCACATGACGTATGTCTCTACCAACATGTTACTAATGATATTAGATGGTTCTTGGCCATCCTCGTCTGCACATCGCTGCTAATCATAGGATTGCGTGCCAACGAATATCAAGTCGGCGATTCGGACATAAAAAAATACGGCCTCGGGAAAGCCCACGGTGACACAATTCTGGACATCGGCACGCTAAGCTACCAATCCGAAACCCTCATTACCAACGTATTAGTTGCCAATACCCCACAAGTCATCATGTCAATGATCTATTTCAGCTACAACGCCATCTTCACAAGTTTATCTCTCATCACTGAGTGGGATCGGCTTGGAACAGAATTGAAAGGTCTGAGGGTTTCTTCCCATTGCCAAGGAGACCAGCGACAGACATATTTCCTCCAACTCCCCTACCGGTACTCTCTTCCGCTCACTATATTTTCTGGCGGCCTACACTGGCTTATTTCCCAGAGTATTTTTCTGGTGAATATTGAAACGTGGCCTCCTGGAAGGACATCCTACGGTAACATCATGTCCTGTGGGTGGTCACCAATCGGCATTATATGCGTTATTGTGGCAGGCACGATTATGGTTGTCTTTCTTCTTGCGTCGGGGTTTCGTCGTTTGCGCTACGGGGTAATACCAGTGGCGGGCAGTTGCAGTGCTGCAATCTCCGCGGCCTGCCACCCGGCGCTGAATGAGGAGCCAGAGATGTGGACAAAGTCATTGCGTTGGGGTGTGGTGTCTAAGGGCAGCTCTGAGGCTGGCTCTGAGCTGCCACATTGCTCTTTCTCAAGTAGAAAGATCGGCGCCCCCATTGAGGGGGAAAGATACAGATGAGAAAGGGCATAGCGGTCCGTTAAAGTCGAGATTGGGAGAGACATTAATGAGATAATGCGAATTATTCGGATTGATTTAGCTTGAGAAGTTACATGGCAGGTGGAGGATCACGATTCCGGGATCCAGGAATGAGGCCTTGAGTTTTTGTTTCATCTTGTAATGATAACCGATACGCCTTGAACTTTCGACAACGTGAAGTAGTCTCCAATTTACCTAGTTCTTTTATCAACGGGGCGCTTGCTTATTCGGTAAGCGACTATGATGGAGTCAAAATTGTAAGGGGGCTTAGGATACTGAAGGGTGATGCGTACGTTAATCAACAGCCTTTCTCGATAGCCACCTTGGGCTCCTTTGAATAATAACTGGCCCAGTGACAAGATGCGGGGACGGTAGATCAACACCCCCGATGGCCGTTTCATGACAGTTTTCGAGGCCCGAATTCAATGTTATCTCGCTGTTCTTGATACGAATTATTAAGTTGCTCTGATTCGTCAGGGAAGAGACCGCTTAAACCAGCAGCCGCATAACTTCCGAGAGTTTCAAACTCTGACTCTTGGCCATGATGGCTGAAGTGGAGAAGCCCATTGTCAGGCCTCGCCAAATAGGGGATAGCATAAGGGGCATTGGGATGAGGGCCAAGCAGCAAAGGAGCAGCTCAGGTATATATAGAGCGCTGAGAGTACACTTCGAGGGAAGGGCAGATTTCAGTAATTCATCTTCTAGACCCTAACAGCAGTCGGCCTCTGTGAGCTTCTTCCCTGGGTCGTACACCTATTGACGGCCATATGGACGGCCACTGGCTGTATCGTGTTGATGTGAGCTACGAGGTACGCCTCGGCAGCCCTTGCCCCTGGCAAACCTCAGTCCTGAGTCCTGAATCTCCGGTTCGATTGATGTAGCAAGCGCAACGTACACCGCTTTCTTCTCCTGCGCGTTCATCTACTGGAAGTAGTTTCGGATGCTTCATCTGATTTGTAAGCTGAGATCCAAAGCCAGAAAAGAGGCTCGAGCCATTTCTACCTTGTGGATATCCACATTTTGATGTACATCACGCTTGAAGCCTGTGATAGCCTGTCAGGGGAGGGTTGTCTTCATCCAAGTCGCATGTAGCGAAACTGACCCTCCATCACTATGTTTGCAAAACACCCGCGAAAGATTTTCGGTCGCTTGAAATGCCTGTATTTGTGCTAGAGCCTGCCCGCACTATTCTAGCTCTTCACCAATGCGGCTCGGATTTCGGAACCCGGAAAGCTCTTTACATCCAGTAACCCAGTACGCTGAGACTACTAAGTCAACTGCCATAGTCGGAAACCTAACTGTGACATTATTCCCCTCGTACTCTAGGCAGCAGTTTAAGGCCTTTTCTTACCAATATTTTGCTTCTGATGATGTGGGGATATGGGGTGCGAGTTGCTCGGAGTTCCTCGGATAGTTTCGCGATCAACTATCAATTTCTCATCTGGAAGAGCATGTTCTTCCGTCGGATTGGCAACTCTTCTCTTTAACCCGAAAGAAAAGAACCCGAAAGAAAAGAACCCGAAAGAAAAGATGGTTTATGAGATTCTTAATCAGTCGAAGTTCAAGATTAACAGATTGAGATCCCCGATAACAAAGTTAATCAGATCTTTTGCTCGTATTGCGCCCTTGAACTGAAGTTTTTTGGCAAACTCGGGCTAAGCCACACAAGCCGCGTGTACAGGGTTGGGTACGCTTCGTGTTCTGTTATCAATCTAACCCACATTTTCAATGGCGCATATTCCCATTCAAAATAAGAGATCTTCCTGATTTGATGGACGAGGTCCTTGGTCTATTATTGATGTGGTTGTTACTCCGCCTTCTCCTTCGGTTCCGTCCCATCATGGTATCACACAGCTGACCAGAGAGCCCATGTCGAGCGAAGAATTCTCCGGATAGGAAAGAAAGTCGTGTGGATGGCCCTCTCCAAAGTCAATTCGGAGCGATCCGAATCAAAAGTCTTGCAACGTAATAGCCTTGTTATCCTTCCCACTAGACCCTTGTTACACGTTTGTCTCCACGCAACAAGGAGCAGCATACGAGAAGGACCTGGAAGGGATTTACGGTTATTTGTGACTCAAAAACTAGGCCCAAATACTTGACGCAGAGTTTCAACGGGCCGGTGACAGGGATGAATCTCTAAATTCGCCGAAAGAACCAACTTCACAACCAACTTTCATAATGTCTGAACCTATCATAGGTGGGAAATCATGGATCCTGAGGCCGGCGAGTTATCCCACCTAGAGCCGCTACAAAGCATCGAAGGGCGCTATCGTGGAGAAACACTCGGCAGATGACCGCGCGGATGTCGAGAACACGAGTTCTAATTCAGGCATAGACCAAGACGCCATGTATCGATCTCGAGAACATGGACCGACATCGCGGAAGCTGGGTGATCTATCGTAACAAAGTCTTTGGTGATGATATGATATAAAGTAGAGAAAGTTCAGGCTCAACAATTTTCTAGAGTATCGACAGAAATCAAATCTACAATGCGCTCCTTTCTCACTATGTATCAGCCGAAAATTCTTTCCTTTGTACTGTCACCCATCTTCATCAAGACTCTACTTGTCACCGTCATCATTCTTACTTCTATTCGTACGATCTTTCTCTACTATGAGGTGTCTATTACCACAGCTCTCGAACACGCCGCCGCCACCTCGCCTCTTCGACCTTCAAAGGAGGCTGGCTGTCTCCCGCAGCTCTCCCCAGACCTGTCTGAAAACCTTCAACTTCTACAGTCATCATGCCGATCTTCCCTCCACGACCCAAAATCCCACATTCGAATCACCACCGTGACGGCACAATTTGGAAACATTCGAGAATACTATCAGAACGCGTTACAGTCACATGTCCTACATACCACACTTCATGGCAATGGGCTCGAAGTCATGTGTACGCCTGTTGTAGATGACCTATGGAACAAGCCAGCCTATATTTTGTCTCTACTGCTCGATGAGATGCTCAAACCACCAGAAGAACGGACGGAATGGCTCTTCTGGGTCGACCGCGACACGATAATCCTAGACCAATGCCGTCCGATATCGAGCTTCCTTCCACCCCGAATCCTTAATCGAGTTGCTGCCAGCACGAAGGCCCACGAAGCAACTCCGAAAGACGAAGACGTACACCTCATAGCGGCCGATGATTGGAATGGTCTCAACAACGGGGTCTTTTTTCTGCGCGTCGGCCAATGGGCCATCGAACTCTTCAGCGCCATCATGGCCTTTCGCCACTTCCGACCTGGCACCGAGCTCCGATTCACAGAGCAGAGTGCCATGGAGATACTGATAAAGGAGAAGAGATTCAAGAAGGGGGTGCGAATGGTACCTCAGACCTGGTTCAACTCGTATCCTGGCAGCCTCAAGGCCTCGACCTATCTCGAGGGGAATGACGAAAAGGGGCTCTCGGATTGGCAGACGAGACGCGGCGACTTTCTGATCCATTTTGCTGGATTCGGCGAGGACGACCGTGCCAGAAGTATGAATAGCTGGCTGGACATGCTGGGGAAGACGCACTTTACACTGGAAGCTGGGAGGGTGCAGAGGAACGCCACACCGGACATCGAAGCATACTGGGAAGATCTAGAACCGATAGAGATACAATGAGCGCTGGTATAGGATTGTTGATGGGATGGAGGACCAACATACTTCGTACAACTCGTAATAAAGATTCAATCAACTTTCCTGCAAGTCTTCTGGAACATATGCTTGTCTTATTACTGTCATCGGAACCATGTCAGTCGCCCCGCATCCCGAATCCGCGCCATTCCAACGAGTGTCCGAAGTCCTTTATACCCGTCCTATTTCATCTGATGAGGGATTAAGAATTCGCTACTTTAAATAGCGGGTAAGCTTGTTCTGAGCTCATTCTCGTCCTCTATTCTTGTGTGCTGATTTTCTCAGTCGCATCCGTGCACAGGTTACTAACGAGCACATCGCTGCTTACCAAATGACGCATAAAGTTCACCACCGCGAGGTCAACGGTTTCTCGAGTGGTAAGTTCTAGAGAAGACTGCGCTAGGTTTCCGTCTATCGCGTCCAGCGTTTATTAGATTATAGAGTGGTTGAATACGCGGAAGACGGTACTGGTTTCTAGGGAGAAAGACCTCGAGTCCGTTGATCCTCTCCAGTTCTTCGTCAAACTGCGAACGCCACGCACATCACCATATTCGATCGCATGCTACTACCAATGGCGGATGCGTCCTGGCTCACCATAGCAATTCACTGCCATGACCACGGATGGTCAATACGTTAAAGGGAAGACGCTCAAATAGCTTAATTAGAGTCATGGTGTTTGAAATGCATTAATTCAACGCTATCCTGACTCCAAAAGGATACCAAAGGTGTCGAAGACCAGTATCTAAGTGTCTATATGTATGACTCAACTAGGCGCAGCGGTCCGATCCCCTGCTTAAGCAGAGCAAGTCCACTTGAGGGGGTCGTTGAGGTTGACCGCCTTGGTCTTCTGCTCAGGGCAGATCTCACGGTCCAAACCGCAGTTGGTGGTGCCGCACCAGTTGTTGTTGTTGCACAGCCAGACGCTGTAGCTCCAGACGTGGCGGTCAAAGTCCTTCTTGCAGCGGTTGACCTTGACGTTGTACTTCTGGTCGGGGCCGAACTTGTCCAGGGGGACATAGGCCCAGTTCTCGGTGTTTTGAGTCCACACTAATAGGGAGGTTTTGTTAGAGACTTTGGTTTATTGCAGAATTGCATCCGGCCCAGGGGGTTGGGTAAGGATGGAGGACGAGGATCGAACTTACTTCCAAAGGGACCACCGTTGGAGTTGCAGTGCTGACGGACGCCAATCTTGGTGAGACCGGCCTGCGCGGCGGCGGCCTTGACGCCGGCGTCGATGGTGAAGGTGTAGTAGGAGAAGTCCTTCTCGGCGCTCAGAGGGGCCTTGATGCAGGCGGCGCCGGAGGTCTTGGGCACGCGGCGCTCCAGGCCGGTTCCGTGGGCCTCGAGCATCGGGGTGGGGTTGGCAACGACGGCGGAAGCCATAAGCACAGCGGCGGAGAAGAGCTGAGTGATCTGCATGGTTGCGATGGTTCTTAAAAGAGAGTGTTGGGTTTTGAAGTTGAAGGTAAGGACTGGAATGCTCTTGGTAAAGACTGGACTATGGTTTGGATAGTGGGACTATTCATGTTTTCATTCACATACAGGCAGGCTTTCCTTTATAACAATACAACTTGGCCGCAATGTTGAGCCAAAGGAACTTCGCTCGGAGTAAACCGAGAGTTGAAGAGTGTGGTCGCTTGGCGCCAAGACTCACAGACACTGAAGAAAAGTGTAGATCAATCTGTAAATTACACCGATCATGGCGGCGAGGCGGTGCGGGTGCACGTACCAAAGCCTGCCAGAACACCTCGTGTCAGTACTCTACTCCGTACTCATGCGGTAGAAGCAGTAGAGACGCCAAATAATCTCAAAAGTTTCGTCAACTATCCGTACTAAAGAACGATCCCTTTGGAAATAAAACCCGTTCCGGCAGCAGAGCTCCAAGACCAACTACTCGTTGCCTCTTGAGCGATAACCCCCAACGTCGAGCAACTCCATTACAATCGCTCCAAAGTTCCAGATAGCCTATCCACAGCACGATAAACTCAAAGATTAAGTAGGTTATGTGGCACGTGCAATGTGGACTCTAGAGGACATAGAGGTAAGGCTTCAGACGAACGCATGAATGATTGCCAGTGGTGAAATTTGGTCCTACTATATTACAGTTGTTCGGCGTCCCCATAGCTTCCAGAACGGTTGGGCAGTATGTTTGCCAACTCAGCCAATCAGACACTAGAGACTCGTGCAAACTCGCGCTCGCACCAACCCAGTACCAGTCAGCCTCAACCAGCTAAAACTCGCCGGTTTTATTTTTGACCACAGCGTGATCGACGGCTATCAGGTGTCATGTCAAGCAAAAACCTGACTCAGAGACGAGAAGCTCAAGCCCCCAAGCAACCCTCCCCAATCTCCGGGGTGGGCAGCTCAAGCTTCTAGAAGAGTGAACCCCTTCGCTTGATCCGACGAACGATTTTCCCCAGCGTTGACAACCAACCCCCTTCAACCTTGTTCCCAGACAACAGGGCTTAGAACTCTACTCAAAGACTCTGTCAGCCCTTTTTGCCGCTCTAGCCTCTTCAATCCGAGGCGGAACCAATTGAACCTCTTCCTGGGTGTTCAGATGCTCTATCCGTATGGTACTACTCCATACATCTCGGCGCCCACGCGCCCTGGTCAGCCCTCCCACAAACTGTGGGGTGATCGACAGCTTGAAGTCTGGACCGAATAAGCTGCGCCTTTCTCTTGGAGCCATGAATGGCACGAACCAGCCAGTCCCTCTTGGGAAGTGCTATCTGAAATAAGTGCATAGTCCAACGGCTGAGAATGAATGCCAACTTTGAGTCTCCAGTTTCTCAGAGTGCAGAGAGAAGAGGGGTGGCAGAGACTCACGCCTCCCTCTACCATCACACAAGACGACCAAGTGACAATGTTATTCTCAAACGGCAGCCGATTATTGCACATCGTAAACATCAATCACAGTTGCAAGTCGAGTTCATTCCCAATGAGATGATCAAAATTGGGCAAGTCTAGCAAAGGTTTTGAGCCCCCGGTCTGGGCTCATCCTGAGCCCAGCCCGACTGAGTCCATGAACACGCTATGATGCTAAAGCCCTGCTCTCGTCACCACCACGAACGCCGCCGATGGACATGAAAGACATTATTACTCGCTCTGATATTACAACCCTTTCAGCCATGAAATGTTTCCCTTCCCATTCCCAAGAACCTTTCTCATGCCCCTTCCTTTTGTTACCAATGCCCAAAAGGACTGATGTACACTTCGCCCAGCGCTTACATGTTCGCGCTGGGATATTCACGAGTTTGCCGTCTGGTGCCGGCGTCAGGCCCCCCTTTCGTCTACTTGAGGGGCCCTGTAGCATATAGGAAAGAGACGTTTGAGGGGTATCATAGAAAAGCAGATGCTTCGGTGTCGAAGGTATAATCATAATGTGCGCTTCATGTATGCTGGCCGTGTGCCGCGTCATGTCTAAAGTGCCACCGCGGCAGGCTCATCCGACCGAGACTGGCGTAGCTAGCCATCCGGTGTTTCGCCTTGGTACAATGCCGACGGTGTTCCTTTTCTTCTGAACGATGTTGTGTTTGGTTTTGATACAGAGTGGATTGTTTTGTGTGTGTGTATCTGATATTGACTTTGGTGTCCCTTCCTTTGGACCACTTGCGGTCGTGCAACCGGAACCCTCCAATGCAGTACTTGTAAATAATAGAAGCAATTGTAAAATAGTGATAATGAATGTTTCTTCTTTCGTCGGGGGATGCGGTTCTTCTCTTCTCCATTCTATGCGAATTGTCGTGTGTAGACCAATGGCATTTTCCGTTCAACATAACTTTCTCTCGTCGCTCATCCCCTGATAGTGACTCCGCTCGCCTTTATTCCTTCAGAAGATCAGTTCCCGCTCCTAGCGTCTCTGCCTCTTTTCTCGGTCGTTGGGAAAGCCTGCTGCATCTTCGCTTCGACGCTTTCGGCCCCGATCTTCGCGTCGGTCATCGTTCGGTCGTAGACCTCCCTCGCGAGGTCCTCCTCTGGGCGCGCCCCGCGGATTTCCAGCCCACTCTTCGTTCCTTGGCCCCGTCGCTGCATCTCCACGTCCGCCATCTCCGCGATCGGTCCGATGGCGAGTTTCGCGACTGCTTCCTGTGTTCTCCCGGTTACTGCCGTGGGTAGGGTTCGCATGCGACTCCCTAGTGCTGCCGGACGGCTCTCGACCAGAACGCCGGGATTCACGTTCGTCTCGACCAGTGGATGACTGATTTTGAGCTCCGGACCTTCTCTCCCTGTGCTCACGGGGCTCCTTGCCCTCCCTTTCGCGACCAGGACTGCGTTCTCGTTCACGACTGCTGCGCCTTGAGTGCCGACCACGCTCTGAACGATGCTCGCGACGGCTGCGATCGTGTTCGTTTTGTGAATGATCCTCACCGTTTGCCTGAGCCCTTTCTTGTCCCACAGGGTTCGGACGTTCTTGGACTGGCGTAGACACCGGTGATGCACCTGTCAGAACTTGAGCATCGGAGCCAGCGATACTACCTCTGGCAACCCCACGCCCGCGGATACTTGTGCCTCTGTTGGTCTCAGGCATGTTGGCCTGTGCTTGCTGCAAAGTGCTATTGATACCCGCAAGCTGTCTACGACTGCCGCCGCTGCGACCTCGATCATTCGATGACGGTCCTGATGGTACCCCATCGGTAGGAGCTGGGAAATTGCCTGTCGGTGTTCGGTTGTTGTTACCTTGGCCTCCTGACGGGCGGTCTGGTGTGTTGATAGGGGGCAGTGGCGGCCGAGAGTGACCGTGACTAGGTGGCTGCCCAGGAGGCGGAGGCGGTGGTGGCGCAATCTGTGCCAGTCGATCAGGATGAATACCAGGAGCCAAGGTAGGTCCTCCCGAGGCTGGAGTTGGTGAGCCTGCCGGGCCCGAGTTGATAGCACGGGCGCGATCGGGGTGTGCTGCTGGGGTCGGCGTCATGGCAGACGGAGAGTTGACGGGCGGATTAGACTCGTACTGATTACGACGTCCTCTGCCTGAGGCCGGACCTGTGGGTGGATGCCGTTCTTCAGGCGCCGCCGGGCTGTCTGCATTCGGGAAACGACCATCAGATCGTGAGTTGGGGGTGCCCGCGGATCCACCTCGGGCAGCCGCTCGACCACGACCACGGGGTCCTAGTGGAACCTCGTTCGGGGCAAGTACCGACTGGATTGGGTTCAGACGACCGTAGTTTTGGTCCTGGTGAGCAGTGCGGCTGTGGTCAGGTTCGGAGTTTCGACCAGGACCCAGGAATGCGTCTCTACCCTTGTCTTGGCCAGAACGGTCACCGTCCCTGTCGCCTATCCGTTCTGTTCTGGGGTTATAGGCAGGAGGCTCCGCATGCGTCTCTCTTCCAGAGGATCGATGATCCGAGTGATGGGAGCGGCCGTGTCTGTCATCCCTTGGAGGCTCTGCTGGTGCTTCTGGATTGAATCGCCCGTTTCTCCGCGGCGAATGACCTCGTTGAGAATTTCGGTCTCTGGGCTCATCCCTTGTCGGCCTGGCTGGCGCTTCGGTTTGTGGCTCACCGATCAGGGCAGCACGCTCAGGGTTGATCAATTCAGTACGGTCAGGCTCCGGAGCACGCTGGTCAAGAGTCCGCTGCTCGTGGCTCTGAGTCTCCTGAGAGCGCGGTCCCCGGCCACTCCGCCGGTCTGTCTCTGATGATCGAGACGGGCGGTCTGAGCGGTTAGACCTACCAGGTTGGTCTCCTTGGATCAAGGCCAGGCGAGCAGGGTTGACAGGAGGATCCTCCGCTGGCTTCTGCGTAGGTTGAGATGGCGGGGTGGCGACAGCAGGTTCTCTAGACAGTCTGCCCGATTCAGACACACGTCCATTTGTTGGAGGCACTCTGTCTCGGGAGGGACGACCTTCGCGCTCATGGGGCCCGTGATCGCGGCGAGGGGGCAGCGAGTCTGGTCTCGAGGGCCAATCTTTCTCGGAAAGGCGACCAGGTTCTCTAGGTGGAGCATCTGGTCCTCTCCTGTCTTGTCCAGAAAAGTCTCGACTGCGGTCGGGCCGCGATGGCTCGGCGAATCTGAGTTCTCTTGAGGGCTCGCGTGGGTCCCTGTGATCTCTGGTATCTCGAGACTCTCTTGTATCCCTAGGACCGCGAGGTTCTCGTGCATCTCTCGGTTCTCGGACCCGGTCTGGCAAAGCGTCAGGAGTGAAATGAGTACGACCGAAATGGCCAGGGATAGGGACGTCTGGTCGCTTGGGCAGGTTGTGCGCACTTCTGTCTGGTCCCGTAGGTGTAGGAGTCGATCTAGGCACATCCCGGTGGTTCATATTGTTCGGCAAGGGCGTTGCATTCGCCGGCTTTGGTGTTGGCGGCTTGCTCGAAGTGGCGGACCCGATGTCGCCACGCGGGAAGCCTCCCTTTGCTGTGTCCGGCTGGGAGGCCGAGGGCTTGGGAGGCAAGTTGGGATCCTTTTGAGTAAGCGTAGCTGGTGCCGAGGGTGCTGCTGATCGGGATCCAGCATCTTTGCTGTCTTTGACCTCGCCGTCCTTGACTTCGCCGTCTTCCTGCTCTGCCGCGGTCCTACGAACAAATGTTAGTTTAACCCCTGAAACGGGTCCTCTAGGCAAACCTACCTGGCTGATCGAGGCTGGAATTCAGTCGCGGTCGGGCGCAAACTGGTTGAGGTCGACTCGTCCTTGGCCTTTCCGCCGTTCTGCACACGGGTTAGTAAGATTCTGAATCTCCGCTTGTCTTGTTGCCTTACCATGTTCGGGCGGAAGCCGGCTGGTATAATCCATTTGTCTTTTCTCCTCTGCAATTCCGACAAAGCACCCTGCGCCGCGACTGACAGGTCCACGCGGTGTCCCTCCTCGCCAGCAGACGCAGTCTTCGAAGCTGCCTCACGATCTGTGATTGTCTTTAGTTGATCGATAAACTGTGTGCCCATGAAGGTGATTGCTGGGAAGTGATCGAGAACCGCCTTAAGAATCGTCATGGCGTTACGGATGTGCATCCATTCCATGCCGGCAAGGCACGACTTCAATGCCAAATTGAGCTTGCTGTGCCAGCCGTACAAGATGTCACGGAATTGCGCATGATCATAATAAGATGATGGCTGTCCCTTGTCATCGAACTCGGTAGCAAACCCAAGGAAGAAGCTGCGCTTGCCGACCGCTTCTCTGTCGTAAGCGTTCGTGTCACGATGCCACCTAGCCAAGTCTTTGAGGATGCAGTTGAGGAACCTGCCCAAGTGCTCTGCCTCGCGGACTGTGCAAGTGAAGATCATGGCGCGCAGCCTATTGACGCAGAATAGCCGATCATACAACGCCTTGAGACGGAATTTGGGTGCGCCAAGCATGTGGAGCTTCTTGATAAACACATAGCAGTACTCAGCGTCGCTAGCGGAGAGCACCAGCCGGGGAAGTAAGCATTGCTCGAGGATCGCATCAGACAGACCATTCAACTTCTCCGCTGAACCCGTGAACCAGGTTTCCATGTGATCCGTCATGTAATCTCGCACGACTCGCGCTCGCTTCATCTGGAGATCCGCTTCCTTCGGCAGTTCGTTACTGATCTTGAGCAGCTCAGCCTTCTTGGCTTCCTTCTTGTTGATACCGCTGCGACTCATGTCGGAGCGATCTCTGTCGAGCTCTTTCTTGAGGTTCGAGAGTCGCTTGTGAGCGTTGTTGTAACTGGCAGCTGGGACCTCGATGTCACCGAGCTGGAGAGCCCAGAAGAGGACATAGAACTCCGGGCTGAGCTTGGTCCATGAAGTACCTGGAGTTATGGACTTCATTGACGTAACGATGGGATCGAGCGCCTCGTGGATCTGGCGTCCGGCGTCCTTCTTTGCCTTCTCCCGAACCTCTGCCGGCGTCGGCTTCTTCTCCTCCGCCTCAGACGGCTCCTCAGTGGCTTCCTTTGCTTCGGTTGCGTCTTGGGCCATTGACAAGTCTCCGTCGGAGTCGATGTTGACTGTGGAGTCTTGCTTTTTGGTGAACATGTTGTATGCGACACCCTCACGACCGATGAGGAACGCCAGGCTTGCGTCAAGTCCAAATTCGTGCATGAGGATAGTGATTGCAGGCACCAATGCCTCGAACTCGTGAGGCTCAAGATTGGTTCGTAGAAGATCGAGATACTGAACCAGAATCTGATGGCTGTCATCGATGACCGAGCCGATGTACTTGATGTGCGCCTCATCGTCGGGAAGCTTGTAGATGGCAGCTTGTCGGTATTGAGCAACGTTGATAAGCAGACGTCCAGCGAGTTTCGAGTCGACAAGAGACTGCATGAGGCGCTTGGCGCTGCGAGTCGACTCAAACCGCTTGTCTTGGAGGCTGAGCAGTGTCTGGCGTCGCAGTACCTCTCCTCCAGACATGGCCAAGATTTGATCGTCGGTAAAGTCAAGAACTTGCACGACACCTCCCATTGACGACACGAGCTCTTTGAGAATAATCAAGTCGGTCGAGTTGCCCTGGAAGAGTTGATCATTCACGTATTGAAGAATAGGTGTCGAGTCTAGAATGGAGTACCGCTTGAAGACTTTGCCGGCGAACTTGGAAAGAGCTTGAAGCCATTTGCTGGTCAGCAGGATGGAAGATTCCTGAGTACGGCTTCGCTTTCCACCCATGGAGCTCACGAGAGACCAGATCAGGACATCGTAGGCCAGATCAGTGAAGTACTTGGCGCACTCAACAAATGCTTCGATGAGATTTGCGTAAGCCTCGATCTGGCCCAGAGCCTCCTTGAACACAATGCCTGGCGACGAATAGCTGGTCTTGGCTAGCGACTTGGCCATCTCGCTGAGATTCGTGAGAGAAATGCGCTTCATCACACCTCTGGTCTCTACGCGAGTGCGAGTGAAGGCTGCCTTCATTGCCGGCAGTCGGGAAATCTGGCCTTCAAACCACTCGGCGTAGATGGAGTATCGGGTTGTGACAGGGTAAAGCTTGAGCAGGTCCCAGACGGAGTTGACAATAGCCGCATTGGCGTTGGTCATGCTGAGAGCAGGAACCAGAATGCGCCGCAAGAGGTCCTGCCACCGGTCCATATTGTGCTGGGAGCGGTCTTCCGCCAAACTCTTCGCACCGATGCTGACAAACTTGGCCAGTAATGCAGGATCTTTGCCGATGCTTACGCCGGAAAGATTCAGGAACGTGTCGCATAATGTGAAAATGTCTTCGACAGTCTGACACACTGGGACGTTGTCTGCCCATTCGTCCCAGTAAAACCTGTAATGCTGATCTCTGCCGTCGAATCCGTCGGGGAATGGCCATCTCATAGACTTCTTGGCTGGTAAGGTGGATAGCTTGACGGAACCCTTGGGTACACCGCTCTGATCAATGTCGGCAATTGGTTTGGAGGCGGGCTCAACCGAGCGGGCGGGAGTTGGCCGACTTTCTTGATAGACCTTCTCCACACTGTAGTTGAGAATGCGATGAATCCTGTCCAGAACTTCAGGATAGGCTTCTGGTAGCCAAGGGAAGCGGCCAAGAATGAAAAGAGATTCAGGAATGGCGCCAATGGTCAAAAGGCAGATGAGTAATGCAGCCTTCTGCTCCATGGGCTCTGGTAGCTTTTCTTTTTCGTCTGCAGCAGCGTCTGCCTTGGACTCCGCATCTGCTTTTCCTGCAACGGCTCGAGTACGAGTCGTGGGGGGCGGTGCGCTGTCGTCAGGCAAGGCACCCGCCATAAGTAGGGCGTTTTGTGCGGCGCCAGGTCGGCTCTGCCTCTCCTTTTCGTCCAGCTCCTTCATCTTCTTTTCTCTCATGGCTTCCATCTCCTCGTCAAGAGGCCAGAGATGTGGGTAGATGTCGACCAGTGACATGAAGCCAACCTTGACGAGAAGTGCGACAAGGTAAAGCAGGTTAGCTGGCAGGACATCATCGGGATCTCTGGCATCGGAGGCGTAGAATCGTAGCTTGAAACCAAGCAGCTGGGCAGCGGTTCGGTTTCCCTGAGGCGGGAGGGTCTTTGTCAGCTTCATCCATGCCGATGCAGCATTGACTTCGGCCTCGGATGCAGACTCTGATTCTTCAAGCAACTTGAGGTGGTCACCTGTGACTTGTCTTCCTCCAAGCTGGAAGAATGCATCGAGGTGAACCTCACGAGCGCGGTCCCAGAACTCAATATCGCGTTGGCGCTTTAGCTCGGCACTCTCAAGTTCGACTTCTTGGCTAGTCATCCAGTGTGACGAGTCGGGCAGAGCCCAGGGAGGTAGGCCACCTGCGTATGTTGACGAAGCAGGGTTCTGATTGCTCGGCCACCAAGAGCTGACTCTGAGAAGTTTGATGAAGAATCGGAACTGCTTGATGAGGACTGCTGCAAAGACGTCGAGTGTAACGTCGAGGACTCTTCCAACGTCAAGATCGAAAGTTCCAATAAGGCCCTTGAGACGTTCAAAAGCTGCATGTGCCGTTTCGGCAGACGGGGGCTCCGAGCTACTAGTTGTGAAAAGCTCAGTCATGAGCTTGGAGTAACCTTCGCTCTCCTCGCGGAGTAGATTGTAGTTCGCTTGTCGGTAAAGAAGATTTGTCGCACGCCTGATACCAAGCTTGACGAAGGTCTCGCGGATCATGCCCAAATCTTGAAGAAGCTGAGCATCTAGAGTTTGGCGCACAAGCTCGGACGAGACGCCTGTTGCTTGAATGAAGTCGCGGAGCTGAGGTCTGAATAGACCACGGTCATTATCGAAGATTATGGACAAAGTATCGAGAAAGAGAGTGTGAGGCTCGAACGAGAAAGACTCCTTAATCATTTCTTGCGATTCCGAGCCGAGGATCTCTTTCATGCAAGCGCCAGCGTCAACAGGTGATAGCCGCCCCTCAATGACGGCATGGATAAACTCTTGATAGATGGCGGCCAGTTCCTCAATGTCCACATCCGACCGTGAGTCGACCCCATGGGTGACTAGTTTTTGCCTGCTGCCGGTTTCCCATGAGGTAATCGCCTCGTCGGTGAGATGCTCATAGCAGTAGCTTGTCGGTACTGGGGAGGGCGGATGCGAAATTGGTGCCGAAGGCGGTCCTGTTGCAATCGGTGCAGGATGTTGCGGCTGCGATGGGGTAGGGGGCGGGCGAGGGACAGTCGGGGACGTGACGCGGGAAGCGCTTGCCGACTGGGTACCAGGCTGTGATGGTTGTCCCTGGGCGGAATCCCGGCGATCGTTTCTTCTAGTGTTTCTGCCACCGCGGCCGCCTCTGCCTCCGCTCTCTGAAAAATCTCGTTCGCGCTGGCCCAGCGGCATGTCTCCGGGTCGATGGGGCGAGGGTCTGCCGCCTTCGCCTGCAGGGCCACCACGAGCCTTGCGTTTAGGAGGCATCGTGCTCTCGTCGCGGGTTTCTTCAAGGTATCATTTGGGTATCGCGCTATCTCGATGAAGCCAGTCTGTAGGTCGCCAGAGTCAGTAAAAATGCAGACGATAAATTTGCGCGCGCGTTTGGAGATGGAGAATAGAGATGCCTTGCGGTTGAAAGGATTCGGAAGCTTGTCGCGTGTAGCTTGTTCAGCGAATGCTGTGCACAAAGGAAAGTTGAGATAGCTGGTACAATCGGTTGGGTCAAGCAATCGCTTCGACGAAAAGAAATAAAGCTGCTGCGATTGCGGGAAAGAGTCGCGCTCCAAAGTTGGAGATTTTCGGGGTTGGCGACAGAAAGGTGACGATGAACGATTTCTCGCGTGAAGACGCAGTTGCAACCCCAGAGTCGAGCGAGCTTGAGATCCACTTCACTGAAAACGGGTAGCAGCCTCACGGAAGAAGGCTGTGAGGTGGAAGGTACCGGAGGAAGGTACTAAGTACCTGGGTAGCTTTTCTTTTATGGGGCATACACCAACTGGGGGTTCTGGATTGGCTACGCGTGACAGCACGGGGGGTGATTATAGCGTACCGGCCCTGGAGACCTGCCAGCTGTCTGACTCCCAATTGACCGGATCTCGGCTGACTCATCGATCCCCTGCGGCCAATGATTCGCCGTGGAATTAACGGCTGCGATTAAGATACCGGCAAAGCTGCCAGTCATTACGCCATTTTCGGTGCAAATCTTTGGCTGCCCTCATTGAACGTTGACCAGTCATACAGTCACATCGAGCAAGTGGAATCCCCAGACTCTTCATATATCTCGCATATCTCGCCATCGCGGAGGGGCTTTACTCCCAGTAACATTACCCTTGTTCTATCTTATTCAAGGCCTGCTTGTATCTTCAATTGAAGACATCCAGACCCCAGTTCGCATCCCGAACGCTGCCCCTCGTTCATTCCGAGATCGGGATGGCTGCACAAAATTTACAGAACGGCGCTCAGCCGAAGTACGGTCAGTTTATCCTCAGCCTGGGAGTGTCATTTGCCTCTCAATTCGTCTCAATCACATCATATATCTCTTCAATGCGAGCTAAGTGGCTCACTTCTTGTTCTATTGCTCGTTATTCCATCTTGAAATGTCATGAGAATGTTCTTCTTATCAAGTAATGAGACCGGTTGCTGAATACCCGCAAGAAAGAACCCAAACGCAGCCTGAGAACCCGTTTGCTACCTTGATTCCGGAGCAACAGTTCGCCATCATCCCTGAATTCACCCTTGAATCGGGAGTCACTCTTCACAATGTTCCCGTCGCCTACACGACCAGAGGCAAGCTCTCGCCCAACGGCGATAATGCCATGGTCATCTGCCACGCCTTGACCGGCAGCGCAGACGTCAGCGACTGGTGGGGTCCTCTTCTCGGAGGACCCGGTAGGGCGTTTGATACATCGCGGTTTTTCATCGTATGCATGAACGCCATGGGAAGCCCGTACGGCACGGCGAGTCCTGTCACGGCCAAGGATGGAGATCCCGAGAAGGGCATCTACGGACCCGAGTTCCCCTTGACCACGATCCGTGACGATGTCAAGTAAGTCCACCCTCTATCACCATGGCTAGATGCCCAGGGCTAACATATTCGCAGCCTTCACAAGCTACTGCTGAACGACCTCGGCGTCAAGCAAATCGCCGCAGTCATCGGCGGCTCACTAGGCGGCATGTTCGTCCTGGAATGGGCCTACCTAGGCAAGGACTACATCCGCTGCGTCGTCCCCATCGCGACCTCGAGCAGACACAGCGCCTGGGGCATCAGCTGGGGCGAGGCCCAGCGCCAGAGCATCTACGCCGACCCCAAATACGACGACGGCTACTATCCCTTTGACGACCCGCCCTCCACGGGTCTCGGCGCCGCCCGCATGTCGGCCCTCCTGACCTACCGCAGCCGCAACTCCTTCGAGTCCCGCTTCGGACGCAACATCCCGGACCCGTCGAGGCGGCAAATCATCCGCGAGCGGCCCAGACCCAGCACGCCGTCCGAGGCGCACTTCCACATCCACAACGACGGACACAACGTCAAGCGCGTCGGCCTCTCGAGGCAGAACAGCCAGGGTGGCAGCACGACAGAGGGAACGCCCGTCAACGGGGCGGCAGCGGCAGCGGTGCCCGAGTCTCTCGATCCACAATTCCACGGACCCCAAACGACAACAGCAACAGCAACGGACAGCCTAACCGGAGGCGACAAGCTCCCGACATCAACCTACTTCTCCGCGCAATCCTACCTCCGCTACCAAGGCCAAAAGTTCGTCAAGCGCTTCGACAGCAACTGCTACATCGCCATGACCCGCAAGCTCGACACCCACGACGTCTCCCGCGACCGCGCCCCCACCATCGCCGAGGCCCTCGCCCTCATCGAGCAGCCCACCCTCGTCCTCGGCATCGAGTCGGACGGCCTCTTCACCTTTGCCGAGCAGGAAGAGATCGCGGAGCACGTCAAGAACGCCCGCCTCGAGCGCATCGACAGCCCCGAGGGTCACGACGCCTTCTTGCTCCAGTTTGAGCAGGTGAACCGCTACGTGCTGGATTTCCTCAAGCAGACGCTGCCGGATATCATGGAGAAGCAAGGGGAGGAGGTGGAGGAGGTCGGTGTTGGACAGCTGACTAAGAGCAGCACGTTTGGCGAGGCCGAGGTGGAGGATATTACCGCCTGGTAACGAACAGGGGGGGAAGTGAAAAATGGGTGTGCAATATAGGTAGAGAGGGCCAAACGGGCAGACTCTCACAATCTCTTTTCATGGATTATTTTTTTGTTTCAACAGGTCTGGAGTCTTTTTCAACAACTCAGCGATTAAGGAAATAGATGGGGGAAATTTTGGGTTTGGATCATGCAGTGTCTTGCAATCGTGCCTCTGACGTGATTGTGAAATCTGGACTACGGAGTGGAACATGAATGTAATGAATCTCATGCAAACGATAATGCCGCATTACCTAATGTTACTTGGCCCTACTCGGCCGTGTACATAGCTTGGATTTGATTGCGGGACTTTGGTCCCTGCAGATGGACCGGAAAGATCTTTCTCACGGACTACCTCAAAGCACAATATCGAGCCCATCGATGTCGAAGCGTCTCACTGGCATCCATGCTTCTCATCTCCTCGAGTGAGCCTGGCGTGAGATCTTATGAGCTAGGTATACGTTCCCTTTCTCTGAATGAACCACAAGCCATACTTTATGGGATGCGGTTCCGCAGCTTGGCATTTTAAACTCCTTAAGCGGGCTGCCGACCGGGCGCACGAGACATACTCCTATCTCGTTCTCGGGGAGGCTCGCGGAAGATTTCGCAACCTTGCTTCCCAGGGAGCCTCAAATCCCAATCATTGCCGCTCCCCCCTCCCGAACGTCGCCGGAGTAGTTCCCATGAGCGGGAGTGCAGCAGTAAACTCTAGGCAGCCTGAAAGCTAAGCAGGAGTTCCTATTTGTGGCGTACGAAGGGCTTGCAAAGGACGAATGACACAGCAAGGAGGTTGAACGGCTATTGAAGAGACGATCCACGGTAGATGACTTGTCCATACTAAATACCTTAGCCGGCCATAAGGGAAGAATAAAGGTACTGAAACCAAACTCTATCGCCACAACAAGAGACGATGAGCTTGTCTGGTGGTGAGGGTGGTGTGCCAAGAATACTGTTGTAAAGACGGATAGATCGTAGTCCGGATAAGCGGCATTTCGGGGGACAGTAGAAATCAGGTGAGTGTGTACGGTGCGGTGCGGCAGCTTCGTCCAAAGGCTGACCGGCATATCGCCGAAAGACGCCTTGGCCGCTCGGCGGTGATGAATTGCAGCCTTCTCCCCCCCTTCTTCTTCGAGACTCTCTCTACTTCAGAGGACGTTGAACGTGGCCAGAAGACTCTACAGAAGACTCTACAGAAGAGTCGCTTCGGTGTCGTGGGGTCCACGTGCGATAGGGAATCCCTAGTATTGGCTCGGGGAATCCCTGCCTCATCCCCTGCCCAGTGAGCCAAGCGAGTGCACTGGCAGATCTGGAGGCCGTGGGGGGCTATTAAGTAATTAAGTGTCGTGAGTGAGGCGTGCGGACTACCGGTGAGAGAGGGAATTATTAGGGGAGGAAATTGGCAGGAGGCCTTTTCAGTACGTATTAACCAAACGGCCGTTGCTATGAGCGTACCTAAGGTACCTGAGGCGTCTGCCCGCATTTCGACCCTCGGTGTGCCAGTCAGGTGAGAGGTGGTCAATGGAGAGACAGAGAGCAGCATTTGGTTCGTTGATCTGGGCCGAAAGAGACTGGACGTGTTTTCAACGTGTTTGATGCGACGTCGGGGATTCCTGTGCGGAAGAGATGCACAAAAAGGAATGGGACATTGGAGGTGCCGTTTGGGTGACTGCGTCAAAAGAGTTCCGTGTGGTCGGCGTTCCAGCGTCCTTCTAGAAGGAGCACCCCTGCTCTGCCGAGTCGATGTCTGGGAACCTGGATGGATCGCGGTGGGGGCGACGTTGATTCTTGGGAACTTGGCTAAGGTAAGGTAGGGAAAGAGCCACCCGCATAAAGCGCGTCTTCCCTGCCAGATCCGTCGCGCCCAGCGTCGCCCAATGCATGCGGAAAGAGTCAGACACTCATTCAGAACCTGGAAGGTGGAAGGTGGAAGTCACCAGATGAAAGCTGTTAAACGGTGGAGAGGGAAAGTGGATACGCTGGGCTGTACCTGCCTTCCCAGGTTGCCTAGAAATGACCTGATAATGCATCGTTCAGTGAGCCTGGCAAGAGCGCCCGTCTGTCGTTTGGAGCCAACTTTCCTCGTGGATGGATACCTTACAGTCCGTCATATCGCTCGCTCTGTCCTTCGTCCCAATTGTATGCATCGCTATTACCCAAAATTATCCTGGTAAGCTTTTGCTGCCTCACCTTTTCCGTCTTCATCACCAGCCGCGTCCGCATATGCAAAAGCTTTAGCACTCCAGCAAGGAGGGCCCAGATCAGAACACAGGCCAAAAGGCAACTAGCAAAATGATGTGCA